TCATAAGCCTATAGTGGTGTGTGGGGTGGTATCTATGGTAAAGAAAACAAAGATTGAGTATCTTGGAAGGTCTAAGAGACCTTGGGGAAACATCAAAATTAAAATATAAAGAACAGATTAAAATAGAGTTTGTTTATATAACTTTCTACATATGTCCTCTTTATATATAAATACAAAATTTATGCTGGTAAAGTTTTTTTTTTTTGTCTGTCTCTAGGAAACATTTCCAAATACCATTACCAATAGCAATAATAATAACAACAACATCCAGCATGCCAAATCTTTCACATGCATCACCTCATGTAATCCTCATCTACCTCTGAGGGAGGTATTACTGCCATAACCACCAATTGCTGTAGAGTCGATTTCAACTCATAGCATACCCATGTGTGTCACAGTAGAACTGTGTTCCAAAGGTTTTTCAATGGCTGATTTTTCAGAAGTAGATTGCCAGGCATTTCTTCTGAGGTACTTCTTGGTAGACTTGAACCTTCAACCTTTCAGTTAGCAGCCAAGCACATTAACTGTTTGCACCACCCAAGGAGACAGAAATTGATTTAAGTGACTTGCCCAAGACCACATTTTTCAGTGGTGGTACCTGGTTATCTATCCTGGTCTGTTGGATTCCAGAACTTAGGCTCTTAATACCTATTGCAGTGCCACCAACCAGACTGTTAAGTGAGTCTCTCTGTTGGAGATAGACCATATGCAGAGAATATTTTTCCCTTCATTTCGTGCTGCAAGCTGAGCTACATTACGTTTTGTATGCCCAAGGTAGGAAATGGAGGTTGACAAGCTTCTCCAGAACCTAGAAAGCCTAACAGAGTGAAGATGTGCAGCAGGTGTGCAGCTCCTGAGAAATACTGGCCCTGGCTAGTTCTTCCATAACTAGCACATCTGACATCACATCAGCTTTTCAAGAAACAGCCATTGTTCTTTCAAGGCTGAGACAAAATATGGAATAGCTCATTTTTTCAAACTTCGTCTGCATGCCTGCATTCTTGATTGTGAGTCACATTCTGTAGTTGAGCTTACTGGAATAAACAATATGTTAGATGGTTGAAGAGAGGAATGAGGAAGTGGGAGATCAGAGGACACAGGTCTGTGAGTGAATACCCTGACATGATCATTTACTTGTTGTTTTATTTCTCTACCTGTGGAGTACCTCAGAAAATTCAGTCTTTAAATATGCACCGAGGAGACGTTTGCTTCCAGAAAGATGAAGTGAACGTACTTTTACCTATTCAACCTACTAAGTACAAACATCATATATAAAACAAGCATAAGAAGACTGTGAAAGGTGGAAAGAAGAATGGCTAGGGACCTCAGAACCCGAGGAACAACACAGTGGTGAATTCCCTGAGGGTTTTGTTTGTTTCTTTACCTCATACAGTATATCTCAGATTGGGTACTGGACAAGTTGGCAACCCAGAAATGCCAAAAGGTACAGACAAAAGAATTCCCAAGAAAAGACTGCTCTCTTTACCTAAAGTACCAGCCTAGCAAGATAGAAAGCTTTAGACAGTAACTGTTGTACTGCAACTAACCACCACAGAAAAGCCAAAACTTCTACCTTTATCAGGCTATAATGAGATGCCCCAACTTTCTCACTGTGGTGGTGTCAGAGAAGGCAGAGTGGGGAGCTCACCTCCTGTCATGGTATCAGTGGAGACTATGTGGGAAGCCTGGACCTGTACGCCAACCCAGTAATAATAACAAAGTGCCCCTGACCTTCTTCTTGAGGTGATATCAGAAAATGTCTAGTGGAGAGTAAGGACTTTCACCACCACTCAGCAGCAATGATGTCACTCTCTCCACCCACCCCTGGTGACAGTGAAGGGCATGTGGGTAGCATTAATAAAACACTCTTTCTCCTCCAGACAGTATGGGATAAGCAGAAGCCTACTGGGGACTTTGAACTCCCACCCTCTCTAGCAGTAACTAGGAGCCCTCCCCTCCTGGGTGTCAAAAGAAGCTGAATGGAGAACCTGAACTTCCACCTCCATCTGGCAGTAACAAGGCAGTATCCTCTCTTCCCCTGCAGGAACAGCATCAGAGGTCTGCTAAAACACAAAATTTAAATAAGATCAAGTGTCTTTAAGATGACACCCAAATTGTCTAGGTTTCAATCAAAAGTCACTCATCACACCAAGAACTTGGAAGAGCTCAACTTGAATAAGGAAAGACAATGGGTAGATATCAGTACTAAAATGACACAGATGTTAGAATCATCTGAAAAGGATTTTCAAGCAGCCATCATGAAAGTGTTTCAGTGAGTAATTACAAATTACAAATACACTTGAAACAAATGAAAAAACCAGAAAGTCTCGGCAAAGAAGTGGGAGGTCTCAGCAAAGGAATAGAAGATATTAAAAAAGAAAATTTAAGAACTAAAAGATACAACAGCAGAATGGAGAGAATAGAGGAAAGAATCAGTGAGTTTGAGAACAGAACAACAGAAATTAACCAATCTGAACAACAAAGAAAATAGACTGGGAAAAAAATAGAATAAAATAAACAGAGCCTTAGGGACATGTAGGACCATAACAAAAAGATCCAACATTTGAGTCACTGAAGTCTCAAGAGGGGAGAAAGAGGATGGGGCTGAAAAAGTATATGAAGAAATAATTGCTGAAAATTTCCCAAATTTGGTAAAAGACATAAGCCTACAGATTCAAGATGCTGAGTGAATCTCAAAGAGGATGAACTCAAAGAAATCCATGCCAAGACACATCATAGTCACACTTCTGAAAACTAAAGACAAAGAAAAAAATCTTGAAGAGTCAGAGAGAAATGACACAAGCATTATTGGCATTAGAGTAATACATGGGTTACCATAAAATTACAAAAAAAAAAAAAAATAGAAATTTAAGAATTGTCAAAGACCTTAAATTCTTCACTCCTTGTTGATTTTACCCATTGTCTTCTACCTTTCTAGTGGAACTCAGACCAACCTAGTATGTACAGAGCATTTACTAGATATCAAATGTTGGTATCTTGTGATAAATTGGGACATTTGTCAGTTCCATTCTTGCTTTAACTGCTTCACAGCAGGTGTACACCTTAAAGCAAATCAAGGAATTCTAGAATTGGAAAGAACCTCAAAAAAAAAAAAAAAAAAAAAGGAAACTCAACAGCAGAAATTTGTAACTTGGCATTCATAGACGGGCATCAGGTTTTTGAACTCCCTGAAGTTAATCTAAAAAAGCCAACATGCATGTGCATTTTTTCAAAGGGGCTTGTGGCTCTGAAAAGGTTCAGAGACACTGTAAGGGTTTCTATTCTTTTCAGGCAAAACTATAAAATCTAACTTAGATAGATGAGAAATGAGGCTGTTTTTAGAGGTGTTCCCCATCATACCCATTGTCTTAGTTATCTAGTGCTGCTGTAACAGAAATACCACAACTGGATGGCTTTAACAAAGAGAAATTTATTCTCTCACAGTCTAGGAGGCTAGAAGTCTGAATTCAGGGTGCCAGCTTCAGGGGAAGGATTTCTCTATCAGCTCTGGGGGAAGGTCCTTGTCATCAATCTTCCCCTGGTCTAAGAGATTCTCAGCACAGGGACCCCAGGTCCAAAGGATGTGCTATTCTTATGGCTCTTGTTTCTTGGTGGTATGAGGTCCCCATGTCTTTCTGCTTGCTTCTCTCTTTTATATCCCAAAAGAGATTGATTTAAGACATAACCTAATCTTGTAGATTGAATCTTGCCTCATTAACATAACTGCCCTAATTCCACCTCATTAACATCATAGAGGTAGGATTTACAACACATAGGAAAATCACATCAGATGACAAAATGGTGGACAATCACACAATACTGGGAATCACGGACTAGCCAAGTTGATACACATTTCTGGGGGACACAATTCAATCCATGACACTCAAAATTCCTGAATGGCACTTCAAGAGAATTTTTCATTGTTAAGGGGAAAATAGGAAAATCAGAGTTTTCTAATCCTTCCCAAGCACTTCTGGAAACACATTTATTAAAGAATGTTTGCCTGTAGTCTTATTTTGAACATTTTAAAAATAATACCTGAAGGTGACTAGCACTGTGATTTAAAATGTACTTTAAAGTTTGATTTCTCCCAATCCTAATGCAAAAGTCAGATTTGCAAGGAAGAACAGCAGCCCCTTTACGTCCATTCCAATGGGCTAGTTTATAGATGACAAGTGTCTTACAACCTGCATTCCTTTTCCTTCTTTCAGAAAAAAAAAGACATGCAAAATCAAGTTCTGTTAATTACACAATGTATAACAAAAACCTGTTGCCATTGAGTTGATTCCAACTCACAGCGACCCCATAAACAGAGCAGAACTACCCCATATGGTTTCCAAGACTGTAATCTTTATGGAAGCAGACTGTCATGTCTTTCTCCTGCTGGTGGGTTCTAACTGCCAACCTTTTGGTTAGCAACATTTTGCTTAACCACTGTACCAGGGCTCCAAAAAATATTAGTGCTTTCTCTGGTGAAAAAAATGAAATAGCTATGATAAAAACAAAGTCATTCAGTTTCCATAACGTCTGTATAACATGGCTGTCCCTTGCTGCTTGTATTCTCTACCAAATCTCATGCAAGCCAGGTCAGCTTATCCCAGAACTACACTGTAAAAAGGATTTTCGGTTGTGGCTGCCTGTTTCCTGATCAAAACCAAGGCTCCCAATGTCACCTAGAGACTAGAGATTGGATAATGCATTATTTTACAAAGAAACTTGACTACCTGCTTCCAATGAGACCCCAAAGTAGATTTACTTATACTGCAGATTGATTTACTATGCTGGCTTCACCAACACAATTAAGAGTCACTGCAGGCCCTTGTTAAACACAGAGTTCCAAGGCCCCCCTTAGGTCTGCTGAAACACAATCTTCAGAAGAGGAGCCTGGGAATCTGAAGTCTTATCAAGTGCCTGGAGTGATTCTTGGGCTCAAGAAAGTTTGAGAAACACTACCTAGCAGTCTTCTTAAACTTTAATGTGCCTACAGATTATCTTGGGCTCGATTCCAATGTAGATTCTGATTCAGTTGGCCTGAGTGAGCCCTGAGATTCTGTATTTCTAAAGTCTCTAGTTGATATTGCTGGTTAGAGGAAACTTTGAGTAGTAAGTTCAAAGATCTCATCACACTGGTGTGCCATTACATTTTTCTTCTCTATCTGTGGATTTTCTTCCAGAAACCTCTAGGCTGCCCATTTCTCAAACTCAGGTGATCAGTTAAGGTAAGGCATCCTGCTCTCTTCCACTTAGCTTATGTAAAAATTTAGTCCACACATGAAAACAGCCCAAAATAAACAGAAATACACACCACACATTAACTTCCAACATGATGAGTTTATATTTAATATATCATTTCTCACCATAGGGGTATCGATCAGTTAATCGATATAAAGATTTTATTATTTTTTTAACAATAATTTTTTTCCATTTCAATGTTCAACATAAAGTTTTTTCAACATTAAATAATTTCTCCATTTCGATACTAGATACATTGAATGCATTTTTCTAAACTTTTTTTTCCCCATAGAAATAAGTATTTCAATTTTTGATTAACTAAATTTGATATGTAAGTACAATAGTAACTTAGGATCTAACAAAACACAAATCCAATACAAACAGGGTGAACAGACTCTTCAGTGATTCAGGAAGCTGTAATTATAACCAAACAATGGCGGTTTCCTAGGATTCTAGACAAGGGCTTCCTTCTTCCTATTTCATGTGCTCTGGGACTTCTGAAGCCAGTTTCAGTCATCTTATTTCTTTCACTTCCTTTCTAATCAGCAAATACAAACTACAGTCAGCATTTTTTAGTGCATTTTTGATGGGAAGAAAACATTTTTCCCCATTTAACATACATCAATTTGTTCCCATTTAGAGGGAAACATCTAAAAGGTGAAATTACCCTTGTTACTATTGCTTGGGAACTTTCAGACATCAAAGCTCAGTTTTAACTTCAATAGCACAAAGGTTTTTATGGTGAGGTTTAATTCAGGAGGCCCTTCAAAGTCACATCTGTCCATTTCTCTTTCTTGCATATACCCCTAAACAAGCACAGATGCCTGTAATGCTGAGAACCACACCTAACAAGAGAGCAATCGCATCTCCTGCTTCTACTGCTTCAACACCCGGCAGCACCAAAAGCAGTGAAATGAGGACTAACAGCAACTGTGTGGAAACTGAGATCATGATGCTGGAATCTTGAGTCAGTTAGATCTCGAGGGCTGATGGTTCCTAGAAATTAAACATGACACAAAAAGAAACCATTAAAAATTGCTAAAATCCCTACATTTTCAAATGACAATACGAATACGACAAATAATAGTACAGTCAACTTTCTAAATTAGAAACTTTATGAATTATTTTAGACCCAACTTCTCACTTCATAGACGGAAAAAAGCAGGCATAAAGAAGAAAGAGGTACTTGACCATGGCCATTTGAGGATAATCTCCCCTTCTCCAGATAACCCCCTCATCCCGGCAATTATTCCATACTCTGTAATGGAAACTCTACAATGCCAACTACCTGTGCATAAGCCAAACAGAAAAGAAACAGCAAGACATAATTAAAAACAGAACATGCACAAGACACGCACTTGGAAACTTACAGTATCCTAGTAAGTAAAAATTACATTTTCTTAGAGTTTCTCCCACCCAGGAAATGCAGACAAACCTGCCAAAAGTTACACAACATATAACTCTGTGAAGCCGTGGTGAATTAATAAGACTTACCAAAGAAACGGGATCTATACGTAACTCTATTTGACTTAAAATACTCAGTTCTTGGAATTCCGGATGCTGAGGCTAAGAGGTTCCACGTGACACCGCCTATTATCAGAACGGGGAGGGGAGCATTTAAAAATAACTCATTATTATTTTAAAGAGGCAGCTAGAGTCAGTGCAGGGCAGGGAGGCTGTATGAAAGGGAGAGGAATGGGTAGTGAATTGAGAGTAGTTTGTTCAATCAGGGGAAACAGACGTATAGTTGGTCAATTCACCCACAGTATAAACCGAACCCAGAGACAAGTTCGCTGCACGACTAGATGTTAGGATTTGAAAAAAGAATCCCTACATTGGCTGGCGAAGTGCAAATTTGTTCCCTGTTATGCAACTACACTGAAGAACTCTATCCTTTGGGGACGAGTTTGTACATTACCTTCCAGGAAGCAGCCATTACAGGAATGGCGAGAAGAGCGGAGTCTGGAAACTACATTTCCCACAATCCCCGCTGCCGACGACGCTCATGATGCCCCGGTGCGCTCCCCTGTAAGTGGCTGAGGCACTGGCGATCACGCTCTGCTGGAGACCAAGAGGAGGGAACAGTCGGGGATTTCTCACATGAAAGAACGTTTACTGCTCAATGAATTCACAAAAGCTCATTTCAAAATAAGCTAACGAAATGACAGCACGAGATTTTCTACCTGTTTAGGGTCTTAAGACAAAAAACAATTTTGTCTTTTTTCTTCGACTGAAATGATTACGTAATAGCTGGAGGCGATAACCCGAGTGAGAGCCGTCAGTTTCTGATATTTTTGAACGAGAAGCAGCGAAATCCCTGTCACCATCTTCGAAATGTGCCCTAAAGCACGTTTTATAAAACATTTTGGAAAATGTTACAACCGCTTGTAGTACCTGTACAATGATTTATGGAAAAATGGCCTAAGTGTAGGAAAATGGTTTAGGAAAAATAGTTGGAGCTCTCAAAGTAGAAGCTCTCTTTATGATTCTTTCAGTTTGTAGAGGTCTGAGTTTCCTTGCTAGTGTGATGATTCTTTCCCAATCATGTTTTTGTGAACCTCTCCCCGAGTGTCCATAAATATTTATGAAGAGATGTAAAATTATTACTTCTAAACCATAAAACAGGAAGTATTTGCATATGTAAGTCTTACGCATTTCTAGAAGGCTCTCTTGAAGTCAGTGAAGTCCTTACTGAACGCTTCTAGTCACATGGTCTTCTGAACTCTTCCATAGTTTCTGACCCAGCAATTTATTTGGCGCAATTTATTTGTGAGTCGGAACTGACTCCATGGCACCTAACAACAATAGTTGTTTGAATAAAAAAGTATGCCAACAAATTGAGGCCAGGAGGTGCCAGATAAACCAAACAAGTGGTAAATTGGAAGTCTGAAGATAACTGCACAATTATGTTGTCAGCACTGCTTCACTAAACTTGATTATTTTAACAAGCTCTTTCTAAATGTCTCGTTTGGCCTGAGCTTTTAGTTTTGTACCTTTGTAATCGATTGTATTTCAAATGTTGTTGTTTTCATTGTTGTTGTTTCAAATAGGAGCTTTTTTTCCCAGGGCTTCCAAAACATCCTTTTAGTCTTCCATAAACATTTTGGGGACTTTGTTTTTTTCTGTGTATTTATTTCAATTAGCTAAAATCAGCAGAGACCATTTTAAAGTTACTGTTATTAACGACTTGTGTCGACGTTGAAGATAATGGTTTGGTTTTAAGTTCGAAGAGATTGTGGATGGTAAGAGTCTTTAAATTATACTATTAAGGGATCAATTAATGAACTTGACCATATGAAAAAGAGTGGCAGAAGTTCATGCAGGTATGTTTTGGTCCTGAGTAGTTTTGAAGTGGGGTCCTGGGATGTAGTTTAAATCCCTTTCCTTTTTGGTTTTGCTGGTTTTATGCTGACTACGGATTTCTTTCTGTGTCCCATCAGAGTCCCTGCCAGACAGGTTTGAGCCATCACTTACAACAGCATCTGTAATAGTACCAATATGCAAATAGAAATAAAATTTCTGCTAATACTATACCTTCCATTCAGTTTGGTTTTTAAGTTGCAGGAAGTTTGTATGATGTAGTATAAAGAATATTAGCTTTGTCCCTTGCTGGCTTTGTGGATTTGGGTATGTTATTTAATCTCTCTGAGTCTCAGTTTTCTTAGTTGTGAAAAGGGTTGTGTGAGGATTAATGGAATGTTCCTAAAGTGCCTGAAAAAGTGACCAGAGCTCAATACTTACCAGTCCCTCCATTATATAGGCAGCTAATACAACAGTGAAGGTTAGTGGTTAAGAGTTAGGGTCATTTAGCGTCAGACTGCTTGGTTAGCATCCTAGTTCTGCTGATTACTGGTTATGTGACAATAAGTAAGTTACTAAACCTTTCTAAGACTTAGCTTATCCATCTATAAAATGAGAATGACAATAGTACCTACTTCATATGTTTATTATGAAGATTACATGAGTTAATTCCCAAAAAGGGTTTAGCATAGTGCCTGTCATGTAGTAACCCTTTATTAAATATTAACTATTGTTATTTAGTGTTACTCAAATCCATAAAATGCGGGTCCTAGGATGTGGCTCCGCTCCATTGTGAATGTGCTCTTCTGCTGCAACACAAAGTAAGTAGAAAATACCTGTGGAAACCTTGGCTAGAGGAGTATCGTAAGCCTTCTGTGCTTTGGGTTGAGGCTGACTGGAAAACCAAAAACAAACAGAAAACTGAACTGCTGTTGAGTTGATTCTGACTCATAGTGACCCTGTAGGATGGAGTAGAACTGCCCCATAGGGTTTCCAAGGCTATAATCTTTATATCTTTATGGAAACTGCGGCATCTCTCTCCCATGGAACCTCTAGTGGGTTTGAGCTACCAGCCTTTCAGTTAGCAGCCAAGCACTTAACCAAGGTACCACCATGGCTCCTTTGACTGGAAAACATGTCCCTATTACTTTAAAGCTGTGGTTAGAAAACTGTCCAGTTGTTGTCTTGTTGGGGCATTTTTATTCAACTCTTATATCCCCACTGGGGGTTACATTTATGTTTAAAACATATTCGCCATGAAGCTTGTGTCACATCATTAATTCACAAAACTGGGTCCAAGAGGTTTTGAAAATATGGTTGAAAGAGTCTAGATATGGATGAATGGCCTCGAGAAATCATTCATCTGGAATGGCCTCTAGGGCCACTCCAAGAAAGCCCAACAAACAAAGAAGTAAATACTCTTAATTCCTTTCAAATTCTATTTCTAATTACAGCACCTAATCTGTAACTTTGTGTTGCTTTTTCCATAAATTGCATCAAAGAAAAGGCAACATTAGATGCCTTGCTAAAAAAGAATTATAATAATTGAAATTTATGGGCTCAGAGGAATATATTACTCTTGATAGATTGTTATGCAATAATTAATTGCAGAGCTTGCAGGACAGAAGGAAATACTTTTGTATTACCACTGGAGATGGCATTCCACACAGTGTCGAACAAGATTCCAAGATTTTTACTTAACCTCCTCAGCTTCAGTCAGATCCCCTCTTTGAAGAGGCTATACATTATTCTTACAACCACTACTTAGAACACATTTGCTTGGTATAAAAGAACTTTATCTATTTTACCAAAAGCTTAATAAAAAGATCATTTAAAAATAAAAACAAAAAAACTTTGATGGATAAGTCAAGCTCATACAAATGGTTTTCATTAGTTCATGATGTATGCTGTATTTGGAAATGTTTCACCCAGGTGGTACTAGTACTAAGTGATATGGATACTGGGATTAATTTTTGGGATAAGGTGAATATAATAATCTCTTCCAATCCTCTGATCTGAAGCTGCTGTTTGATTTTTAACATGCCTTCAATCCATCTTAGTGAATATTATCTTCTAGCTGTAATCCTGATTTAGATATCACAGGACAATAATTGCCATGTTGTGCATGTGTAGTCCCTCTTTTAAAAGAAACAATTGCTTCTTAAGCAGTGCTAGCTGGATGAGCAGCTCCTTCTGTGCCCAGCAGCTGCTAGCTCCAAGTTCTGCCCATGAACCTCTCGGCTAGCAATGTGAGCCACCATTTTTCTGAAGTAATGCCACATTCTGACTTTTTCCTGAAGCTGTCTGAATGCGTCTTCAAGTTTCTATGTGGTTGCTCTTTTGACGTTATCTGGGATTATCAAAAATCCAATATTTAGTCTGTCAATTCAGGAAAATCTAAACCTATACCACCCTTCATTAATACAGACATCACTGATAGCCGTTGATATACTCAGAGACAAAGAACATTACTTTAGTCACTTATCTGAGCAGTGGAGGGCAAAATTACCTAAGTTAGTTGTTACCAAGAAATAGTTTCAGAGAAGAAAGGAGAAGTGACTTCTGTTCATTTTATGACTGTTAGAAGTGAGTCATTGCTCGGCCCTGAAGGAGGCACTTCTGGGATCAATCAGAGGAGGCAGGATTGGCACACATTAGGGTTTTGCAGTGACTGGTGTGTGTCAGGGAATTCATAAAACCCAGACTTCCTCATTAACAATTGAGCAAACCAAGTGAGTGGAAACATTTCATTGGAAGCATCACAATAAAAAAAGGACAACCCAGAGCTAGTCAGTATTTCCCATCAATAATAGGACATTCATCACTGAGATCATTACATTACGGCTAACTAATCATTAGGCTAACAGAATGGGGCAAGCTGCACTTTCCAGAACTTTTCAAAGGCCGCAGAAAAACAAAATGCCTGCTGAAACTAAGTATGTTTTTTGCCAGGAATCTGCAGAGATGTATGGGAGAGTTACAAAACGTTATTTTTGATATATAGTTCCAGGCACCGTCTAGAGCCTATTTCAGATGTGGACACAGTACCACTGAACCTCAGTAATCTGTGGGAACCAATCACACAAACCAGTGATGTTCAAGGAAGTAGAGGAACCCCCCCACCCCCCGCAAGCCACTGACAGATTCTTCTTCCAGAAGCAAGCAGGAGCAAATTAAGCATGCCTGGATGGGACAAATTTATACTTTTGAAAGTTGTGAGATAATCTCTCTATATAGCACTTTTTCCATGGTAATGGACTGATCAAGATCACAGCCCATGGTCCAAAATTCATCTCTGCCGCCTATTAACTCTAGGAACTTGTGCAAATTATATAACTTCTTGAAACCCAAATTTTCTCATCTGTAATGAGAAAATCACCAATCTCCATAGGATTGCTAATGCAGATTAAATGAGGTAACATGTAAAATGCCTAGTATGGTCAGTGTAAGTGTTGTTATTATTAGCACCAGAATAGAACTCTCGGAGACATGGACTAGCTGATCAAATATTTATTAAGTGCTGCAAAAGGAAATTTAAAGTCAGGATTGACTTACCTCATGGGAGGGTGGATGTATTAGTTTCCTACAGCTGCTGAAGTACCATAGCCTGGGTGGCTTAAGGCAACAGTAATTTATTGTCTCACAATTCTGGA